GCATCCTTGGAAAGGAATGGAAAATAATAGTTAAAATGTAATACTTTTAACATTTGTTCTGATTATGAAAAGAGAATCTGTTATCTCACTGCCTATTCCCAAAGACTAGGTGGACTGGGGTAGATTTTTTTTACAGCCCTAATCAACATAATCCTTGTTTGTTGAGACCTAGCAGATATAAATACAGGTACTGTCTTTAAATGATGACTTATTCAGTATTGTAAAGTCTGTAAGGTCAGTAAATGATTGTTAATTTTGGAATTATAATGCAGTCTAAAGCAACTAACAGTTTATAACATCATTGCAGTCATTTTGCCGTTGTTTCCTTCCTTGCTACCCTTAAATTTTGTTTGGTTTTTGTTTTGTTTTGTTTTGTTTTTTTTGCTTTCTCCAGTTTATCAATATGAGAAGACTTCAAGATGCCAAGTATAAAAATACCAAAGATAGCTATTAAAACCTGGATTTTGTATCAGATTTAGCTCATGTTGATTCCCAATTTAGTGCATTTAATGAGGGATATTTATTTCCTCTCTTTATACCTCTTATAAATTATTTAGTTGATTTTGCTTGTCAGAAAGATGAGTATTTTTTTCCCTTTATTTTAGGTTCTGATCTCATTAAAATATCCATTTTGCCAGGTATGTGAGCAAAAAATTCCTATCACTACCTAAGTCTCTATTACTGACTGGGGCAGGGTGATCAAAGAAAAACTAAAAGTAATTAATTGTTTTTAAAATCATCAGTATTTGCCACTGTTCATATCCTATTGTTTTCTAGTCCAAATGAAATAACTAAATTTTCATATTTTAATATATTCAGGGGGAGTCCAAAATCCTCTGACTTATGTTGTCCCCAGTCCTAAACTTTAAAATAAGATTTTATCCTTTATGCTACTCTCAAATTGGTTATGAGATAGTACTGAGAATTTTACAGGAGTTAATTTTTGCAATTAGTGGCTATTGATACCCATGCATTTATTTATTTGTAATTTGAAGGCCTTAGGGGTTTCCATTTCATGGTTTCTTTAGGAGTAAACATGGAACCTTTCTATCAATGCATACTTTAGGGGTGTCAAAATGCTTTTGTAGGTATAAGCAAAATTAACAGTGTTAAGTTAATTTTATGGTTATAACTGTGTCCCTTTAGAGACAACCTGTTCTGCAAGTTAGTTCCAGTCTGATCATTTCTACCCCTGCTGGAAAGCCGTTGTGAGCTTCCAAGTGTTCTTCCTTTAATTGTACATGTGTGCATTTCTGTAGTGTGAGATCTACATACATCAGTGACAAATATCAGGTGTAAAGATGGATAGCATGATTTGTACAGGACCATCAGGTAATTTTTTTACTTATTAAAATAATTAAATTCATAAAATGGGTATCTTTTGTTGAAAAAATAAGATATTTCTATGTCTTGGTCCATCGTTAATGTAGGTTGAATATCATTTTGTATTCCATGATTTATGCAAGGTTATCTTCTCACTTCTGTGAGAAAAATCTTGAGATTAAATGTGCTCACAGGAAAATCCTTAATTAGGGGATCCTGGAGCATCATTGCATGTTCTTCCCCATTGGAAATCAGGGTGGCACAAGTAAGCAGTGAAGGAGCATCAGCAGCAACTTTTGTTTTGTTTTGTTTTGTTTTTTCAAATTTTTCTTTAGTTTGAATTTTTTTTAATTAGTTAATTTTGATTTATCAGCAATCACTTCCATAAGCTTTTGAATTTAAAATTTTTCTCCCCTTTCCTCCCCACCACCCTTCCCAAGATGGCGCACAATCTGACAAAAGCTATACATATACATTCCTATTAAAGATATTTTCACATTAGTAATGTTGTAAGTAAGAATTAGAACCAATAAGAGGAACTACCAGAAAGAGGAAACAAAATTCAACAGAAGAAAAAAAAATAGCCAGTAGTATGCTTTGATCTGCATTTAAACTCCATAGTTTTTCCTTTGGATGTGGATAGCATTTTCTATCATGAGACCTTTGGAGATGTCTTAGATCCTTGTATTACTGGAAAGGGTTAAGTTTATCAATATTAGTCATCACACAGCCATTCTCCTGGTTCTGCTTGCGTCAGCATCAGACCATACAAGTCCTTCCAGGTTTTTCTGAAGTCAGCCTGTTCATCATTTCTTATAGCACATTTCATACATTTCATTTACATTTCATATACCACAACTTGTTCAGCCATTCCCCAATTGATGGGCATCCTTTCAGTTTCTAATTCTTTGCCACCACAAAAAGAGGTGCTATAAATATTTTTGTGCATGTGGGTCCTTTTCCCATTTGTATGATCTCTTTGGGATATAGCCCTAGAAGTGTTATTGCTGGGTCAAAGGGTATGCACATTTTAATAGCCTTTTGGGCATAGTTCCAAATTGTTCTCCAAATGGAGCATTTCACAACTCCACTAAGAATGCATTAGTGTTCCAATTTTCCCACATCTTCTCCAACATTTATCATTTTCCTGTTTTGTCATGTTGGCCAATCTGATAGGTGTGATGTGGTACCTCAGAGTTCTTTTTGTTTGCATTTCTGTAATCAATAGTGATTTAGAGCATTTTTTCATATGAGTATAGATGGCTTTAATTTCTTCATCTGAGAACTAACTACCTGTTCATATCCTTTGACCATTTATCAATTGGGGAATGACTTTTATTCTTATAAATTTGAATTAGTTCTCTGTTTTAGAAATGAGGCCCTTATCAGAGACAGCAGCAGTGGTTTTGAAGATAGTACCAATAGTCCTAATTCTACTAGTTGGGAAATCTTTAGTTTAGAGTATTATGGTTCAAGTTCATTTTAAGAAGTTACCTTTACTTCTGATCCTCACAAATTGTACCAGTCAGAATATCTGAGAGTGCACACACAAAAAGACAGAAATGTACAATTTCTGATTCAGTGGAACGATATTGGGCCTTGGCAGGAGAAAGGCCTGGTTCTAGTCCTGGAGATGCTACCAACTCTGTGCCTTTGGGCACCTCACCCCATTAAGACTTGAACTAAGCACCTACTGGATGCCAAACACTGCTCATTGGTAGAGGGATTCAAAGATAAAAGAAACTGTCACTGCCCTCAGACTTAAATTCTACTCTTGTTCAGAAAAAAAAATGGTGCTGATTATAAGACGAAAATAGTAGTGGCCTCTATTGACTCCCTCTGGTTCAAGGCAGATACTGTCTTATTTGGATTATATAGTGCCACACAAAGGAATGGTGTGGAAAAAAACACGTATTTTTAGTGAAACGACCTGTGTTCAAATCCCAACTCTACCACTGCAATTTTATGTAAATAGTTTCAGTTTCTGTAAAGGGAGTCATAGTGACATAGCTGACGATTAAAGTCAATTGCAGGGGCAGCTAGGTGGCACAGCGGATAGAGCACCGGCCCTGGATTCAGGAGTACCTGAGTTCAAATCCGGCCTCAGACACATAACACTAGCTGTGTGACCCTGGGCAAGTCACTTAACCCCATTGCCTAGCAAAAAAAAAAAAAGTTAATTGCATCTTTAAATCAATTATGATGATGATGGTGATGATTCATCCACTTGTATTAGCTGACACACTTTAATTTTCCTTTAGAGATGGCTCTCTTAGAGGGGGTGGGAAGGTCATATTGAGAAAAGTAGGTGATACAAAAACAAGATTATTTTAAAAAGGCAATAATTTTTCCTTAGAATGCCTTGGATAAGATAACCCCTTTATCACTTCAACTAGCAGAAGAGGAGCTTTCTTGGGATCAACAAATCAATAAAGGACTCAGAATCTGCCTTCTAAATATTTTTGATGTGGCAGTATAGCATTTAAAATCCAGAAACGAAATAAATAACCTGGAAAATACCATGTTTATTCTTACTGTCTACATTTTTTCCCTAAAGTTTTATAGTTAAAGGTTTTTCAGGTTTTTTTTTTTTTGCATTTTGTGTAATCCAATATTTAATTTGTAACCTTTGTTCTGCTTTTTTTGCCAGTAGTTATAGTTTATGATGTTCTTTTATGAGGCCTATCTCCTTTACCAGGATGGTCATAAAAACAATGCAACATTTTATCAAGGACCTACAATATGCCAGCCCCCAAAGATATGAAGAGCAAAATAAGAAAGGCTTGGGATCTGTTACACTAGGAAAAAAAAATTCTGTTGCCATTCCCCTCAGGACCATCATTTATAGGCCCTACCCCTTCTCAGTGTGTCAGTCAGGATTTATGGAGAATTTTCTGTGTGTTAAGTAAAATACTGCCCATCAGAGTGATGAAAGTTCTAGATGAACTAGACTGGTTCTGAACTACCCACAATTATGGCTCTTTTTTTAGAATTAATCAAGCAATTAGTGTTACCCTGGTTCAGAACTGGAGGCCCTTCAGAGGTCATGCAATCCAAACTCCACTTACAGTATGAATATTTTCTATGAGATCTCAAACAAATAACCATCCAAACTTTCTTTGAAGGCCTCCAGTACCTGGGAATGCATTACCACCCAAAGAAATGATTCTACTAATTAGGAAACTTGTTCTTTAATAAAGTTCATATCTACCTCATAACTTCACACCTATTATTCTACCCTTTTGGGCAGAGCAGAGAACAAGTTTATTCCCTCCTAGTGAAAATCCTATGTATACTTACAAGTACCTATTCCACCTTAAGTCTTCTGTAGACTAAACATCTTAGTTTTTTCAACTGAATCCTAATGGTGTGGTTTTCAATAATCTTTATTGTCCTGCTCTGGATAGGTAATTTGTAGATGTCCTTACTAAAATATAGCATCCGAAACTATACACAGTACTTAAGATATTATTTATGTTTATTTTTGTTGCTCATACTATTAACTCAGAACTCCGCTGTTTCTCAAGATGTACCTACTGCACTCAGTACACTGAATGATTTTAAAATTTCATCCCTTCACACCATCACCACCCCAAAGAATTTCCTTGCTCTCCAATGCTGTATGTCATCATTTTTAAACTCACAGTTTTATAACTTTGACTACAATAAATGGTTGATTTTTTTTTTCCAGTAGCTTCAGTCCTCCTCTGATCATCACAATAGAACTTGGGAACCGAAAAGCAAGTAGAATTTAAGACGTCCATCTAGTAGAATTCAAAAGTGCCTCAAATTGTGAATTTGCGCCACCTGCAAATAACTTTTTAGAGAGCTTTGCAATTTTAGATTCCATTACCAGTCTCTCCATTGCCCTCCCCACCTTATAAATGATTCCATGCCATAAGGTAAGAAACTATAGATAACCTAATTCTCTAATGTGACATTAGACATGTCAAAACATTCAGTCTCAGTTATCTGAAAAATGAGGCAGTTGAATTAGTTGATCTCTGAAATACTTTAACACAATGAGTCTGAAATCCTTTGAGATGATAAAATAAGGGAAAAATATGCAAAGTAGGTAAGGCCCATTTATTTTAAATAATGGAGACAGGGAGCTATGGTCCTCTCACCCTGGTTAAAATGTTTTTTCATCTTAATGATCAGATGCTTCCCTATCTGGTCAATTAAAATGTTTCTACTTGGAAAGTTCAAGTTCAAATCAAACTTCACAGCATAGGAACTACCATAGTTTAAAGAAAATCTTTTGGGAAAATGGTATGTGGAAATTCATATAGACTAACCAAGCCCCCACAAAGAGAGTATTCAAAGTTCATTTACAGAGATTAATGTCAGCTTATAAAAGCATGTGGAAAATGTGTGCATCCCCTAAAGACCCTTCATAGTAGTATTCTGTATCATCCTTGTAAGAAGATAACTCTACCAAGACAACATTCTACATGTATAATGCTTGGGTGTAACTTTTTGTCACCCAGAATCAGAAGACACCAAGGAATTTCCTTGCAAGAAAGAATTTTTGAAATAGATTTTCCCAAGATCAGGCAGGCTGATTTATAATTTTATTTTAGTCAGTGTCCACTTTTTTCTTCCATTTCCTTCTGCTTTCTCATTTTATTGGATTCTTAGCCTGGAAATTCTGTTGAAGAAAAGTTGAGATTAGTCAGGAATAATAACCTAAAGAAAAGGACAGAATAGTTTTCAATATCAGTTAAGTTCTTGGCTCCCAAACTTATTTTTTCTATTTCTTTAGCATATTCAAATGCCACTTTCTTTTCATTTTATTTAAGACATTGGTTTTTCCTAAATAGGTCATGCTTTGGAAAGCAGATTATTTTTCTTCTTGAATTGACATGGCATATAATTATATAGCATTCATCTTGGTTACAAATGCTAACCATATCTTAAGAGGCAGACTGAACAAGGTGTAGAGGTAATTGTATTTCTAGGCACTGTTTCTCTGGGAATACAACTTTGTAACCCTAAATGGAGAGAATCCAGGAAATTAGGAAGACCAAAGGAAATCACAAGGTCCAGGAAACTGAACTGTGCTAAAGGGTAAATATAATTCAAACTAAAAATAGAAATGAGCAGTACTCCATGGCTATCCTATAGGTAACAGTGACTCTAGATTATTAGAGTGACTCTGTATTACTAGAAGATATATAAGCTGACCTTCCATCCTCAAGATGAAACTGATTACTTTTTTTTTTTACTTTGGGAAAACATTTGGGAACTTGAAATGTAGATCACCCATACTCTAAAGGAGCTCTCAATTTAGCTCTCAATATTTCTGAAAGGAAAAATAAAAATGTATTTCTCACCATTCAGGTAATCATTCACATGAGGCCTAACAGCATTTTTGACCACTGGTCTCACAAGAGGTTGCTCTTGCCTCCATGGGGAAATTTTGATTGGTGAGTCTGCCTTTGTATGTCCTCAAGGAGCAAAAAAAAAAAAAAGGAGAGAAATAACTCGACACCCTCATTTTCTTGGTGCTATATTGTCAAGTTTTCTAAATAAAAACATCAGGAGCAATGAATGGCTGTATTTTTGATAGTGGCTTACTACCCATAATCAAGGTATAACCTAAATATTTTGCAAACACAATCAAAGCCTAGAACAATGGTTCTCAAAATGTGGACTGAGCCACTGTAACTAAGTATGCCACAAAATGTGTTGATTCTTTTTCCTTTCTTGGTGGTTTTGACTTTCACTGAGACAAAAATGAGAAATAATGTAAGGGGAGAGGCCTTGGGCCTCATCCCTCTGAGGAGACCTGACCCCTATAAAACAATTGGTTCTTTGCCTTTCTATTTGGTCTTTTGTTTTAGGTGAAAGAGAGTAATCTAGACAGAGGCTCTCATAAGTTTTTAAAAGTCAGTGTAACTAATTTCCAGGAATCTGGTAGACTGGTAGTCCATACCAGGTTTTGTAGCCTGCTCAGCATCAATGTTCCAATTCAGGGACTGAGTGAGCCCACTCCTCCCAGAGATCTAGGTGCCCTGAGTATGCCTGCTCCTGAGGTTTGGGGCTGAGGGGAGTTTTTCTTTTTGTACTATATCATCAAAGCAAAAATCATTTGTAAAAGCTTTTTAAGGGGAGAAAAAAAGATTCGTTAAGAGATGTCTGATAAAAAGTCAGGTTTGGGAGGGGGAAGGATATGAGAGAAACTTCTAGGAATTATTAGACTAGTCAACAAAATAGTTTTTATAACATATCCAAACAGATCATTTCAGCAAACTTTATTAAATGCAGACTATGTGCTAGTCACTAGGGATATAGAACGAAATAGAAAAGTAGTCTTTGAAAGTATGTTCTATTGGAGGCTTTACGTCTTTATTTTGGAGAGAAAGTAAATGACTTGGTTTTCAAGTTAATTCTACCTTGATTATAAAATGGGATGCGCCTGGAAGACTTCAACAAAAGTTCCATTAAGAGGTACAGGAAACAGCTTTCAGGTGCAAATAAACATTTCTACCCCAGGAAAGGTAGGAGGGTGGAATACTTTAATTGAATATGAAAAGTCTTGCAAGACTTGGCTCTGAGGCATAGACAATATTCATAACTTTTTACCTGACCACTCACCTATGTCAAATTCCCTAAAGAGTATACAGATGAATATGACTGAATTGAAATTAATCACAATAAGGCAATGGTAATGGCTTTGGGTCAGGAATAATTTGTCCAATAGGAAAGGCAACCTTTCTCTCATCTCCTGATGAAGGTAACAAAGCACCCCAAGAGCTAAAGTTCTGAGAGAGTCAGAGGAAGAAGCTTCAATAGATACTTAAGCTAAGGGTCATTGCTCTAGCTCAATAGTTCCCAGTAAGTGGGTTTGGGATAATGCTGCAAAGATTTTGTACTAAAAATTCTTTAATCGTGCTTTAAGCAGTTTAAAAAAACCCAATTATGTTAGAAATTGTCATACAATTGTTTCTAAACCACCACAAGGATAGAAGTTTATTGATTGGTTGTCTTCAGCCTCATTAAACTCATTGCAGCCACAAATTAAACTATGCCCTTTTATAAATATTCCCACGTATACATTTCTAACTCCATTTTCATATTGCCAACAAAATGTTAAGTACCTTGAGGTCAGAGACTATTTCTGTTTTTTACTTTACATTCCCAGTGCCTAGTAGAGTGCCTTGAATGTAACGGGTGGGTAATAAATGCTCACTGAACTGAACTGAATTCCCTACTGCCTGCTGAACTCTGACCCCTAGATGTTCTGCTAGCCTCTCAAATTATTTAGTTAGTTAGTTCTTTTTAGTGAGGCAATTGGGGTTAAGTGACTTGCCCAGAGTCACGCAGCTAGGAAGTATTATGTGTCTGAGGCTGGATTTAAACTCAGGTCCTCCTGAATCCATGGCTGGTGCTCTATCCACTGCACCACCTAGCTGCCCCCTAAGCCTCTCAAATTTAACACAACTAAAACTAAACTCATTATTTTCCTCTCCAGATCAGCTTCTTATTTTGACTTCTTTATTTCTGTGAATGGTATTATAATTCTCCCATTTACCCAGGCTTAAATCTCTGTACTCATCTGAAAACTCCATCTCTCATGTCTGGGGGCCTACCATCACCACCCCCACATCCAAACAATTACCAAATATTATCAATTCTTTCTCCTAAGTGTTTCTTGAATACATCCTTTTCTTTAAAAAAAAAAAGTTTTTACTGATGCTAATTTCTTACTTTCATTCCTACTGCAAACGGGTACATTTCAACTTATTACCTCATACATGGACCATTACATTGAGAAACATACCAAGATTTTCATCAGTGGAATATATAAATGGTCTTAGGTTTCCTCGAGTTTCCTTCACAAAATAATCAATGACACTGAAGAGGTTGGGTAGTGTCACCTGAGTATTAACAAGACAGAAAACACAAGAGGAGGAATGCAGGTTATGTCTAACGACCACAGGACCAATCTAATAATATCTGCTCCCTACAACCATAAGGTCTAATAATATAAAGCATAATACAATATCTCAGGAGGTACAGAATTAACAAGACTCAGTGTGTGTTTGCAGGGCCACCACTGGCCTGGGGTGGGGGGAGCTTTGAGCTAAGTATGTTCATGTTGCCCACATACGCACACTTTTGTGCAAGTTGAGAAATCAGTTTAAAGTGAAAATCAAGGCCAGTCTCTAAGGTGAAAAGGAATACAAAAAGGACAATTTGATACCATACCAATGACATATAGTAACACACTATATGAAATGAAAAACACTGTTTCAGTATTAGCTGGTGGAGTCACCTTGTCCTCTGGTCACGGCCCTCCTGAAACAATGTCAATTGCCCATGGCTCCAAAGGTTGAAGTTAGTGCAGACATTCCAATGGGCTTAATCTTAATCTGCCTTTATACATTTAGAATGTTCTAAAAAACTAGGCCAGGGATAGGAACTAAGGAATCCTGGGAAAGGTTGGAGGCTAGAAATCAAACGAGAGACGACTTTGCCAGCAGTTTTGCTGCCTCCAATTGAAGCCCATCCTCTCTAAGCTGTAGAGGATGTGGTCACAACACAGGAAATTCTATGGCTTTCCTCTTCCTCTCCATTGAGTTGGAAGCAATGAGACTGGGAAAGCAAGGGGCAGGGCTAGGAGGCCCGATGAACAATATAAATTTCTTTGAGACCTATCAGTTTCCTGTAAACAAAAGCATTCTTAGCATCCTTCCTCAGTCTCAGTCCAAGGAAAGTCAGCTCCTTTCCTTCCCTCATTCTGTAATCAGACTGCTACACTGAAAGTATCCCCAACCACTGATGATCTGGAAGCACCTTAATGGCCTTGACCAAGAAGGAAAGGATTTCTTCACCCCACCCCCTCCACTGTTATTGTGCAGGTGAAAGAAGTAAAAGGGGGGGGGGTGTTGAATGGGGAAGGAGGGAGGGACATTTTCCCAAGCATTTCCCTTTAGATTTGAAAATGAACTGAAACTTATAAAGCATAAGAATCGCAAGCTTCTCTACTTCTTACTAGTTTTAAACAAACTCTTTTAAACTCTTTTACTTGGGGGAATTTAAATCAGATGTCTAGCACAATTAATATTCTGTCTCACCCTAAAAATAATTTATATTTAGAAAGAATTGTGCAAAGTGAATGAGGGAAAGAGCATCACCTCCTAAATCTTTACAACCTTCTACCCCTGCTCCATCACCACTCAGTCCAAAGTTGCCCCTCTCAACACTCTCCATCCAGAGAATCTGCTAGCCTCAATTCTTTTAACGTGATATTTTTCATCAGCACAAATTTCCTGGGCAATAAGTTTTTGTCTGTTTTTCAACCTTCCTTATAGTTCTAGAAAGCAGAAGTCTGGGCAGAATTAATCTAACGAAAATAGTTACAACAAAGATAATGACTTACTGGTTTTTCCAGTTCAATAGTGTAGTTGGCTCCTACGCTCACCACTCTGTAGTGCTTTATTCTTGGAGTGCTGAAACAAAGCAAAAAAAAAAAATAAAGATTCTTTCCTATTTGTTCTCATTGTTGTGGGGAAAAAATAAAAACTAAACATGCATATGACAAATAAAATTTCCATTCAGCCCAGCAAAAATGTCTGGGGAGTCCCTTTATCTATCTCTGTATTTTTCCCCAGGCTACTTCAGGCTAATGATGTAGGGATCTGGATCAGTGACAGTGACTAGTGAAAAGTCCTTCAATATTTGTAGGATTCACAATTTCATTTGTGTGGATGCACACAAGTCAGGCCTGCACATCCTTTGGCATGCCACAGGTTGTTCAAGCCTGACACATGTAAAGCCTGAAGCTAAAGAACAAGCCACATTTACATAAGTGCTTTTAAGGTTCACAAAGTACTTCCCTCACAAACATCCTTCAGGGCATATAATAGTAGCTAGCATTTATGTAGCACCTCAAGCTTTGCAAAGTATTTAATGAATACCTCCTTTAATCCTCACTACAACCCCGGGAGGTAAGTGCTATTATTGTCCCCATTTTACAGAAGCAGGTTAGAACTAAAATTTCCTCCCTTTTACATATGAGGAGACTGAGGCTGGAAGAGGTTAAGTGGATATGCTTTATTATTATCCCCATTTTACATATGAGGAAACTGAGGAGGGCAGAAATTAAGTAACTTGCCCAGGTCAAGTGTCTGAGGCTAGATTTGAATTCAAATCTTCCTAACACCAAGTCTAACACTGTATTTACCTCCCTTTTACAGAGAGGGAAAGTGAAGAGTAGACAAGTTAAGTGATTTGATCAAGGTACTCAGTACTCCATTTAAAAGTAATAAGTGATGGGACTGTCATGGTCTTTATGAAATAGGATGGCTGAAATAAAACAGTCACCTGGTGGCCAACCTCCTGGTGTCGAGCTTGGAGATCTGAATCTAGTTCTAGGTTTTGTCCATCTAGAAGTGACATTTAAAGCCTTCCCAAGTTGACAGGCCTTTCTAGAGCTTGCATTATGCTGATACAAACTGAAAGAAGCCAGGGCCATCTCCATGCCATGATTAGAAGCAATGTAGCACATAAATAGAAATGGAATGTAGAAAATGAAATATCAAGGAGGGCCAGACAACCTTGCAGGGAGAAATAATCATTTCACTTTAAAAAGTGCCACTAACTCACTTAAAATAATACATTATTTAAGTTTAACTCCTCATATTCTAGTTCTATGTAAATATACTCATGACTCTTCCAAATGATACCTGATTATACAGAAAATTCTAATAAATAGGAAACATACTAGTACTTATATAGCTAAGTCCAGTTAAATGAATCTGGGCCAGTCACTTAACCCCTGTTTGCATAAAGCTAGAGAAGGAAATGGCAAACCATTCCAACATCTTTGCCAAAAAACAAAACCAAACCAAACCCATGGACAGTTGGTCCACAGAGTCCCGAAGAGTCAGATATGACTGAAGAACAGCAGATGTACCTGAAGCTGTAAGATGAGAATTTAATGTCTGTCTTGTTGTATTTTTTGGCTCCCTTTTAAGGTTATGGCTTTCTCTAAACTTTCCCCCAATGTTGAAAAATTAACTGTCATTATTTGCTTCTGATTAATTGCTTGAGAGAACTACTAATTCGACTTGCCCAATAAGTAAGGCCTGTCCTAAGCAAAACTGTATGACACATGAAGTTTTCATTTCAATGTCTTTCTACCTTATCAGAACCTCTCCCCCTCTTTAAGAGTTTAGGGTATTCCGCTCCGGACCATACTGCTATATAGCACCTCATGATCTCAACTTATCAGCACCTGCTCTCATATAGCCATCAAGTTGGGGAAAATATCACAAATTGCCTAACATAAAAGTATTTCTGGCTAATAACTCTTTAGCCAGAATATTATTTTTATGTTCCCTTTAACATGGGACAATGCATAACCTAAAATAAAGACTCCCCAGTGGCAGCAATTCAGACATCAATTACAGGATGGTGGGGAAGATTTGGGAAAATGAAGGAGGAGCTTCCCAACATTCTTCTGAAAATAACTGTTTATCTATAAGGCCAACCTTACTTATCTACGTACAGCACAACTGCGAGAATGAAAGAGGCCTTTAGCATCTGCTGTTAACATTTTAAAATATCACTGGTTCCAATAAATACACTGTTGCATAAAACTGCCTGGGAAATTTGGTCATTATTTATGAATCCCAATTTTGTGTAAGGGGGATAAAAAAAAGCAAAAATTAACTGGAAGTAGGATTCACAATTGTAGCTGGCATTAGAACATACATTTCCTCCAACACGTGCCCCTGGCTCTCACCTCGGCCCTATCACTTTTTCCACTTTTTTTTTTTGGCTAAGCCATAGGGTTAAGTGACTTGCCCATGGGGTTAAGTGACAGCTAATAAGTGTCAAGTGTCTAAGGTTGGATTTGAACTCAGGTCCTCCTGATTCTGGGGCCAATGCTCTACCCACTGTGCCACCTTGTTGCCCCCCTATCATTTTTTTTTCAAGGATTAGTTAGAATAAAAAAGTTGTTGGTACAATTTGTTATCTTGAGATTTCCTGGCTGAAACCTTAAAAAAAAAAACACATCGTAAATTATTTTGTATGGCACTGAGACTCATGGGATTTCTGGACTTTAGAGATCACCTGGTTCAAGCCCCTCATCTTCCAGATGAAGAAGCTGAGCCCCAAAGTGAAGTAGCCTGCTCTAGGTAATAAGCAGCAAAGCTGGGGTTCAAATTCAAATCTTCTGACTCTAAGGCCAATGCTCTTTCTACCACACCATCTTACCTCTTCTTGGTTCTAAGACTTTGACCTAAGTTCTTAGGAAGATGTAACTTGTTGGTAAATTGTCTACCATCCTAGCTTGCTAACCACCAATAACAATTTAAAGAAGATAAAAATAAAACAGGAAGTTGTGTTATGAGAACAGCTTCTTGCCTTCTGAATGCACAGGCCAGTAAGAATGACATCCTCCATTAAGAGAAGGGTCACCTTAATAATCTGGCATACAGTAATTCTGTCCCTCCCTAATCTAAAATTCATGATTGATTAGCAGGTGGAGTTTATGCCTCCATAAAGCTGCTTCTGTGTAAGCAATATGCTCTTTGTTGCTTCTGTTTTGCCAGACACACTTACTGACTCACATGACTGAATAGCATTTCTTGTTCTGTGTATAAGAGAGGTTTGGTTTTGTGGACAACACAGGTGTTTCCTAACACTGGATTACTGCCAGGCACTTCTTGCTCAGGGACTCAGTAAGATCGAGTAAGTTAAATATTCTTCTATCAAGCTAGAAAGAAGAGAGCTGGACTGAGAGACAAAAGACCTGAGTTATAGTTCTGAATCTTCTCCTAGTTAGTTGTGAATGCTTGAGTTAATCATTTGAACTCTGTGAGTCTCAGTTTGCTCATCTGTAAAATAAGAGGACTGGATTAGGTATGACCTCTCAGGTCCCTTCCAACCCTAGCATTCTATGATTCTAAGATTCATTGCCATTGCTATTCCTCACTTTTCAGTATTTTAGATGCTGTCCAGCAGAGATAAGGAAATTACAATCAGAATCATGTCTTTTAAATGTTTTTAAAAGATCTGCTGTGGGATTTTGGAAGAGACAGATGTTCTGGGGGTCAGATTCTTCAGAATTATTTTGTTCACTGTGAAGAGCTGCAAACACGAGGACCTTTGGAAATATAAAACAGCTAAATTGTCAAAATGTACACATAGGAACTTAGATGCTAGAATATTCTAATTTGACCATTCCATTTTCCTAGTTCACTAACAGCTTTCTGTCAGCCTACTTCAAAATGAACAGAATTTCCCCCCAAGGATATTGTCATACAGATACTTATGACACTTTAAAAATTCATATTAGGAATTTACAATTTAATTCAAATTAGGAATTTGAAAAAACCTCAACCTTTCAACTTTGCTACTGACTCCTTTTTTGGTTTCTTCATCTTCTGTTCATCAAGAGCAAAAGCTTTGTGAAACTGAGGAAATTTCCTGGTATGTATCATAATGTAGAATTGATGAAAACCAATTTCTCCTGATTAGTTCTCTCACATGATGTAACAGGGCGCATAATGCAAGCGCTAAGTGAAGAATGTGACACTGAACCAAACTGGATAGGCCAATATTCTAAAAATGCATTTGGTCAAAAACCACATCCACAGTCCAAATGCTCAACTATGTAGAAAATGAATGCTCAGTGTAACTAATAACATTATTAATCGAAGCTAGAAGAAATCCCCAAACCAATGCAAAGATTTTAAGAAGCTAATCAGAATAAAATATTTGGCTTTGTAAAAATACTGACAATATTTTAAAAATAGGAAGGCAATAACATATTTCAAACACATGCAGACAGATTGATCAGGCAAGCTTGCATGAAGAAATGGAAAGAAAATATTTCTATAAGTCAGCTTCTCTAGACCTCAATTTGGCTTATTTAGATCTTATCTAAAAAATGACAACTTTGGGGGCAGCTAGGTGGTGCAGTGGATAGAGCTCTGGCTCTGAAGTCAGGAGGACCTGAGTTCAAATTTGGCCTCAGACCAAACCCTTGGCACTTACTAGCTGTGTGACCCTGGGCAAGTCTCTTAACCCCAATTACCTAAAAATAAAAAAAAAAGTTTTTTTTAAATGACAGCTTTGGAATAGGTGATTGCAAAGTCTTTTTCTAGCTCTAAACTCTATGATCTCATGAGATGATTTAATTATGATTCTGCCATAATTTGAGAAACAACTTGTCATGTCATGTTTCCAGACATGTTGTTCTCTGATGATCATTAATGGTTGTTGACTTTTCATTTTAGTGAACTGTTTAGAATTTTATAGATCTTTTAGCCTAGAGAGGACCTTTACTTGTCAATGATTTTGGCAAAGATGACATTTTTTGTGATGATGGATTTTCTCTAATCCATGCAGGCCCTCATATCCACATTCCTTGGTAATCACTGCCACGTGTTTTCCAGACAGTTGGGTGAGGTGAGAGATCCTGCAGTTTGTGACAGTGAAAGACAAATATTAAAAGTTGGCACCCTTTCTGGGAATGAACCTGAAGCCTTTGCCTCAGAATCACCATGCTGACAAAACAAACTAACCAGCCAACCACAGAACTAACACTGAAAGCTGATTTAAAGTTCCCAATTTATGAAGCAACTCTGTTTGAGCTCATATTCATCATAAAATCACACAGTTGGTATTTTTACCTTGCCTCATGTCTTGCTGTATTTTTTTCTTATTATTTTGAGGTCATGTTCTTGATTGATTCATTGTTTATGTGTGTACCTTTAGTCCACTATTTTCTTCTCTATTTACATATGTTTTTTATAACCAAAAGATACAGTGGCTAGTGTCTACAACAAGGTAGAACAATTAGCAAATTCTGGAATTCAAAGCTATATTTATACTTTTATTCTGAAAGATAATTATTTGTTAGCCATTTCATTTTATATTTTTGATAATGGAGCCTTAGATCACTGCTGTGAAAAACAGATGTTCAAAAACACTTATAAACAAAGTTCATTTTAAGTTTTAAATGGTCACTTTCGAATGTATTTTACTTTTAAAAAAACTTCTTTGATAAGAGAAATATAAACTGGACCCAAGTTAGTATATTTGCTAATTGTTCTTTCCTATAATAGCAGGTATTTGTCTTAAGTCTGCCATCACCACATTAAGTATAAAATCATATGAACTATAAGACTCTGCATTCTTAGTGACAGAATTCCTGTTAAATATTAGATAAACTTTGTAAATTCAACATACTCTATTTCCTGTCTGATGGTAATGGAATAGTTCCTACTGTCACTACCAGGCCTCAGGATCATATTTCCCGAAGAAGGGTTCTTCTCTAGCATTTCGGTTGCTTCTTTCCGAGACACTGAGTAAAAGCACCTACAGATGAAGAAAAGACAGAATGAATTATTAATTTTTAGTCTGACTGACTAATCAAAAGACTAGTTTTAAAAATGCTTTGAATGTCTGGTAGGAGAGAGACTGATGTTTCCCCTCTTGTGGTTGTGCCACAATAATTCATCTTATAATTCCTGTAGGGTACAACCTGTGACATTCCTATTACCCTATGTGAATATTCTAATAATTAAAATTCTTCCTTTTACTCACCCCTACCCCTCACCCCAATCCTTTCCCTACCAAATGAGAATACAAAAATTTAAATAACTCCTTTAGCAAAACACAACCAATCTCTGAATATTTAGGCCCAGAATAGTTGATGAAATTAAGACAATAAATGGTTTCATTTCCATTCTGAGATTTTACAATAAGCTTTTAAATAAATACTATTTGTTTCTGTTCTCCAGAGAGGAGATCACTTCATTGTTAATGCTGCACTGGAGTTGTTAGCCATTCCTGTTTGCTTTAAGCAACTAGTCTTTAAGGATATGTCTGAATGCCTTCTTTGACTCACCCTTTAGACACATTGCATAGCTCCTGTGGCAATTAGAAATTGATTCTAATTAATAAGATTTGATAAGAGCAGCTTTTAAAATAAAAGTTTGATTCTCTCTTTTGACAGCCCAGCATTTGATAAGAATGATCAAAGAATATGTCACACCTTTTCACTGTGTTGGTTAGATTTACTAAACTGTATCTTTTGTTTGTTTCTCCTTTTATTCTTTGAGTTGTGGGGGGGGGAAGGAGTGAATGAGAATACTGGAACACTTAAGTTTTGTAAAAACAAAAGACATTGATTTAGAAAAAATGTTTTAAGTGATGGCAGACAGGGTTCTATATTGATATCATGAATGACACTACAGGATGACATGGCCCCAAACACTTATGAGCAATTCCCACTTCCATCAGTTAGGCTCAAATCCCGAGTCTAGGTCTTTTGGCTTCTCCCTGAGCACTGTCTTTTCCTGCAGACAGATTACTGGGGGCCCAGAGCTATATCAACCAGATATTTATGTCTGCCAGGACCTTGTTATCAGCTTCCAGTTACTCATGGGGATATCACAGCCCAGGACCCAGGGCCTGTAACAAACTTGGCTGGCTATAAAATCAGGAATTACCTACCTTTAACTCACTCTAAAACCAACTTCCCAGGAGCACAATGCTAAATCAACTTTAAAGACACCCTACTTTTTATCACAGAATTGGTTCTGGTTGTCCATACCTAGCAGACTTTCCTCCCTTACATAGTAATCAATATCTACTTCATATACTCTATCCACTTGACTCTTTCTATCTCCCTCACTCTCTCCTGATTTTTTCTGGGGGTGGGGGAGTATGCTATTATAAGCAGCTTATAAAATATCAGCAAACATAAATATATCCATATACCAAGATGAAATAATAAACTTCTGACATGGTTTTCAAGTATACATATATTAAATTTAACACAATAATAACAAAACTTCCCGGCCTATCTGTATCCCCTTCTGAACTTCCTTTGCACTTTTTAGTATATTTTTAAATGTATCATTGATGCTATTTCCTTTCTTTTCTTTTTTCACCTTTTTTTCCTACCACTATCACTACCCACTCATTTCCCCCACAACTTCCCCTTCAAAAAATAAAAGTCCTCCCATGTATCAAATAAGTATAATCAAGTAAAACAAATTCTCATATTAGCAGTGTCTGACTCTTCCACTTTTTTTTACCTCACTCTCCCTTTCTCTTCTCATGTACTATTTCACCACACACCACCAGGGGCCATATCTCATAAAGAACAGTTTGATCACCAAGGTAAAATGAACAAGCTGACACTCTTTAAATAGACCAAGTGGGCAAGAAATGTTTTCAGATAGCTGCATGAACTATCTCCTTACACTGGGATTCTTAATCTAATATTGGTAAACTATTTTCACTGTTAGATAGGTAAGCACTTCAGGAAAAAAAAATTAAAAGAGGATCAGAATTGTGGTGTGCTCCTTTTTCAAAGAGTACCAACTCCTGAAGCAGCATAAAGTTTCATGGAGTTATGCTCTACTGTATTTCTGTCTCTATCAGATCACATCAGGAATAAATCAGTACCACTTTTTAGGAGTATATTGACAGCAAGGAGCGTGTCCAGAACTCCTGGTGAGGATCAGATGAAGGAAATGAAGATATTTAGCCTTGACAAGATAACTATAGGAAATGATGATAGTTTTCTTCAAATATCTGACTCACTGTCACATTGGATTTGCTCAACTTGGCCTCCAGAGGCTGAACTAGAAGCAATGGACTGGGGCAGCTAAGTGGTGCAGTGGATAGAGCATCAGCCCTGGAATTAGGAGGACCTGAGTTCAAATCTGGTCTCAGACCAGACACTTGACACTTACTAGCTGTGTGACCCTGGGCAAAATCACTTAACCCCAATTGCCTCACCAAAAACAAACAAAAAAAACCAACAACCAAAAAGACAAACAATGAACTTAAGCTGCAAATATACAAATTTTAATTTGATATAAAAATAAACTCTTCACCATTTGGAGCAATTCATACATAGCATAGGGCATCCTTGGGAAATTCCCTCTTCCAAGAACTTTTTAAAGGCTGGTTGACAATCTCTTGGGTATGCTATAAATGAGACTCTTGTTTGGGTATGAATTGGACTACATGGCCTCTAAGGCCGCTTTCAACTCTAAGATTCTATGTGATTCTATGGGTGAGGTTGAGAAACGGGGGAGTGAGAGAGACAAAAGTGACAAAGGGCAGGGCTGGCCTTTGAGTTTTCAAGCCTAACTAGGAGATCATTCGATGCCGTAAATGGAAATGGGGAAATTAGAAGGAAGGGAAGGTTCAGGGATTGGGAAGGTGGGGAAGAGGAAGATGACAAATTCTGTTTTGAGTAAGTTGGATTTAAAGTACTGGCAGTACATGTAGGTATAGCTATCGAGCATTTAATTGGAAAAAGGAGACTGCAGCTCAGCTGCAGACAGATATTGGGAAGCCATTTGCTCAGTGATATGCTGTTTATTCCAAAGAAAGTAGTTTACTGTCCTTGGCTTAATCTTCAGAAGTAGTTTATTTACTTTAGTAGCAACAAATAAGTAAGCTAGGAAAGTAATGACGAATTAATTATTATTCAATAAGGACTTACGGTGGCATAGGGTTCAGGATGTCCACATACTCCCCAACTGGTTGCTTGTCTTTTCTCAAAGGTATGTTGGGTGGTCCCTCAATCTCAATCCTTCTTTTCTTTTCTCTCTCTAAGACTTCATGCAGTCTGATCATTTGTCCAGGTAGCAGTGATACATGCTGAGGGACTGATAACTAAGAATTAATTAAAACATAAGGCAAATAGGTTAAGGAAAGCAATGTAATGGATAATATACAGCCGATGTGAACTTGGTCTGGTCCTGAAGGCTTCAGACACCTTTTAGGAGAATATTGTCTTTCTCCTTGTATTTTTATCCCCAGTGCTTAGCAATGTGCCTACCTAGCACATAATAAGTGCTTAATAAATGTTTATTTACTTAGATGGGAAGAGTGGAAGATGCAGGAAATTTTAGTTCTACTTTTATCCCTTGGGATCATTTTTGAGCCAATTAGAATCAATGGAGTAGCCTGGAATTACCTAATATGGGCTCTCTGTTTGTGGTCCCAGAGCAGAACTTCTCATACTCCAGATCCACACAATAAATTTATTTTGGGGAAATACATTGGGGGCTAGGGATGATCCAGGATATCTGAGGTTTGATCGGCAGAGCTGGGCACCAAGCCAGCTCACAACAAATCAGCTATAAATAAATGTGGCTCACCAGCTGTACTCTCATAAGCTTTGATGACCTTTGTGATAACACTGTTAACATGACACCATTCATTAATGGATGCTGCAGGAGTTTAGTTTAGTTTTTTTTTTTTAAGTATACTACACTCAATCCATGAACTTTCTAATAGCAGAGATGGTTTTGTGCTGAGCCATCCAGATTCACTCCCTATTGTGGGCAACTGTGTGCATCTGTAAAGTAATTGATGAGTATAAAATATGACTTCAGGAGAGAATTTTAATTTATAGAAGCAAACTGACCCGTATGGGGACAGAATCCAATCTCCTTAGCATCATGTTTTAGCAAATAGGCTAGCTGGACCACGCTATTTATTTATAGACCTAGCTAAAGAAGCAATAATAGGTAAATGTCTAGTATAGTAAGAAGCAATTTATATCTATACCAACCATTTCTCCCTCTCTCAAGTCCCTTCCATCTTCAAGTCTTTGGCCTTTTTGCTTTTTACTATCCTCATAATTACTATCTAGTATGGAAATAAATCCTGTAAAATTCACATTTGTTTAATTCATATATCACAGAATTGTAAAGTTAGAAGACACCTGATATGTCATCATCACCAGGTAGGGGTGCTTGGCTAGAGTGACTTGCCTATGATCTTTTGACTCCCTGGCTAGTGTTTTTCCCAATACCTCCTTTCTTTTGATAAGGATCAAGGATGAAGATATTCATCATCTCATTAAAATTCTATTAATTCATGTGACAGTAAGGACTTAACTTAGAAATGAGATACTAGGAGCTAATCCAAAATATGAAAATTGGGGAGGGGTCTCCTCTAAGCACTAGAGTTTATTGTAGCCTTATGTCCATATGTTGGATGCTGATTATCAGAATGATATTGTTTTGATAACAGTCATTACATCATTTTTTAAAAAAATAAGTTATCTTACTGCAACATTTAATGAACTATTATTAGCAGTAAAGCTATTTTCCTCTGATAAAATGTGTCAAAGAACATTAGATAAGCACATAGTTATTTTTTGCACAGAAGTTTTTTTTTCTCATTATGTTGTCATTTTCCAGTGACCACAGCTTCCTCTCATCTTCCACTCTCTTCCACCCCCACGAAACAGAATCCTCTCTTTTAACAAAGAAATGCAGTGAAGCAAAACAATACAATACAGTGGCCATATTTGAGAATATATGCCTTATTCCAGGCCTTTAGTCCACCACCCATCTGTTGAGAAGGGGGGAAGGTATGTTTTATCATTAGTCTCCTAAAATCAAGAACTGAGCTCTTTTCTAGAAACTTAGTAAATGAGTAAGCATTTAAATGTTAACTCTTTTCTGTGAACAGTCCTAAGCCAATGTTCAAATTAGGAATCATGTTTATATTTTGCTAACCAGATTCAAAACAACTTGTCAAAGATCAGGCAATAGCCTAGGAAGAGACTGATTTAAGATTAGGATGTGAGTTTGTCCACCAATGAAACCAGGGCTTTACTTCCACCCCATTCCATTCCAAGAGGAAAGAGTATGGGCACAAGTTCAACAGGGAACTTTGACATCTTAGAAAAGTAACCCAAGGTTAAATGTTAGCCACCACATTTTGAGACAATCAGGATCATTCTGCAGAATACTTTGTATTTGAAGAATTTCAAGTCAAAGGTCATTCCCCCACCCTTGCAGCATCTCCACCTTGTTGAATCTTTAGACTCACTGGGGATTCTGTCCCCATATGGGTTAGTTCACTTCATATAAATGAAAATTTTCTCCTAAACCTCAGTTTCCTCAAATGTAAAATGAGGGGATTGGAATGGATCTGCAAGGTTCCTTCTGGTTATAATGGGGTGTGGCCCAAGCTGAGGTCTTCCTCCCTTGATCCAAAGGGAATCTGGCTCCCCTTTGTCTACAGGACCAAGACCCTCATCTCCCTTTGAAAGCCTTAGCCTACCTTTTAATCTCATTCAGATACCTTTCAGTTCCTTCATTATCTATTCCCATTGTCTATTCAATCTCTTAAACATTCCAATCTCTGGGAATTCTCACCCAGACCCTTTTCCCAGACTTTTTTCCCAGACCCTTCCCTGGTTACCCAAAGTATATAAAATCTACCCTGGCCCTCATTCAAGGCTGAGAATCTCATGCCCAAGGGCAGCTAGGTGATGCAGTGGATAGAGCTTCGGCCCTGAAGTCAGAAGGACCTGAGTTCAAATCCGGCCTCAGGCCAAATACTTGACATTTACTAGCTGTGTGACTCTGGGCAAGTCACTTAACCCCAATTGCCTAAAAAAAAAAAAAGAGGGTCCCAATGTCAGGACAGAGAGGTCCTTAGACTTCCCCAGAATGCTCCCCCTCTTCGGAGGAAGCTAGGTGGCACAGTGGATAGAGCACTGGCCCTGGATTCAGGAGGATGTGACTTCAAATACGGCCTCAGACACATAACACTTACTAGCTGTGTGACCCTGGGCAAGTCACTTAACCTCATTGCCTAGCCAAAAGAAAAAAAAAGAATCTCATGCCCAAAAGGCTGAGAACCTCTCACGCCCTCATCCTTACAGGCATCACCTGGCCTATTATATGTTTTATCATTAATAAACTTTTCCTCTGGCTGAGCTGAATTCTTTCAGGCAGGGCCTGGCACCGCAATATTGGGGTTCCAGCAGCACCCCAAAGCCCTAGACCTCTTCAGTTCTACATATCATGGCTATTGAGTAAGCTTCTCTTATTAATCTGTGTTTCTTACTACAGAAGTAGCTGAATAAATTTTAGATTTTTTTTTTTTAGGCAATTGGGTCTAAGGTCACATAGCTAATAAGTATCAAGTGTTTGGTCTGAGGCCACATTTGAACTCAGGTCCTCCTGACTGCAGGGCCAGTGCTCTATCCACTGTGCCACCTAGCTGCCCCTAAAGTTTAGATTTTTTAAAAAATTTAAATTGTTTGCTAGTTGCCAGGAAACAATAGGTGACATGAGAACTCTTTTGTGCTTGAGAAAAAACACTAGACGCCTTTTATATTTTCAAATGTGCTTCTGAAAACCAAAATAATGAGCTACAAAAAAGAGCAAGAATTCCACTATATTATGTTCAGAAGAAAAAGTGGAGCAGGTAGCTCTTACCTCTGTAATAGTAAGAATAAAGCCTCTCCACTCCTCCCCACTTTCTATGTTCTCTGTCTGAAAAGGAAGAAAAAAGTGAATGAGGGACTAAACATATAAATACACTATAATCATCTTTGTTATTTTGCTTGGTTAGTTTGCTTTTTAAATTTTATTTTAGGACCAGACCTGTGATGTCATTGGTATGGGGATTGTCTGGTACAAACTCCCTCTATTAATGTTTCTTATTTATTACTTACAGTTTTAGAGTAACTTGGGGGTTTGAGAAGTTAAGTGACTAGTCCAGTGACAGAGCCAATATGATTAGAATAAGGACTTACCGATTCTGAGGCCCGCTCTCTATCACACTATACCATGCAGTCTTGGTTAGTTTATAAGCATCAGAAACATATAATTTGGGGCTTGATTTGGGGCTGTGATTTCAATAGTACAGAAATTTAGCAACATGGAAACTCCTTCTACCAGCACATATCAACTTCAGTAGCTGATACAGAGTTTCCTGGGGCAAAAACTTACAATGATCATACCACTAAGTATATCAGAGACAGGACTTGAACCCTGGCCTTGCTTATTTCAATGCCAGTTATCTGTCCACTTCATTATCTACATACAAACCCTAAAAAGTAGAGTGAACTACAAAATATACCCTCACCACCAGTAGGATATGCTAAGAATACGGGTGGGAATAAACTTTTTTATGTCTAATCTTCTTCCCTGAATATCACAAACTTTTAAAATCTAATCTGAAATCTGCTCTTGGCTTCAGTTTTCATGAATTTGTAATATGATTAAACAATTCAAAAATAGGTAACCGATCTATTTTCAGCAAATGAAGGGGTACATTACTTGGTTCCATGCATTGACTACTGGTCTTGGAGTTAACAAGACCTGAATAAGATCTTGTTTTAGATACTAGGTACATGTGCCTACATAAGTAATTTAATCTTAAAGTAACCTCTTTCAGCCTCAGTTTCCTCTGCTGTAAAATGAGGACAATAATAGCTCTTACCCTAGAATGTTGTTATGAGGATGGCATGAAATAAAAGATAAAAAGTGTTTTGCAAACCTGAAAGTTTGCATAGTATTGGCTATTGCTATTAATTTCTACTTTTAACTTATTCTTTATGTTTATTGGCCCAAGGGTTACAAGTTTAAAATTATTATTACCAATATTCACATTGACCATTTTGCTCATTATATTTAATTTTAATTACAAAGATCAAACATTGAGTCTTTCAGATTTCCAGCACATAATGAAGGCATTGTTAAAGAAGGTATGCATATGAAACACTTGTAATTGGTTCTTAAGGGCTCCAAATTCTTTCTTTTTTTGGAAACAATCAGGGTTAAATAACTTGCTCAGGGTCACACAGGTATAAGTGTCAGGCCAGATTTGGAGTCCCTGCACCACCTAGCTGCCCCTACAACCTCCTGATTCTTATTTCCTGGTTTATCAACGCTATGAATATGATCTACATCTGGGCAGGCTTCTGACTAGTTCTTTCTTAGCTGAAAGTTTCCCATAGCATATTTTTTATTTTTTACTTACACACTGAGAAGCAACATGGTGTAGTGGCTAGAGAACTGCTCTCAGAGTCAGGAAGACCTGGGTTCAAATTCTACATCTGACACCTACTTGACTGAATGACTTTCTGGAAATCGCTTAACTTCTCAATACCCTCAGAAAACTAAGACTAGAAGTTACAGAGCAGGGATTGAACTATTTTGGTAGAGGGTTTCTCAAATGGTGTTTCCTAAGGCAGTGAGATCATAAATCAGGTAACAAAAAAAGTTGATATTATGTATTTCTTTTACAAAAGCTACACACACACACACACACACACATACACAGAGAGAGAGAGAGAGAGAGAGAGAGAGAGAGAGAGAGATATGAAAAAACCTTAATGCTAGCTGCTTGTTTAACTTAATTAGTCCATATAATAGAGAGGCCAATTTGAAACCTTGAGTTTTTCAGAAGAAAGAGGTACTTGGTTTCAGCTAATTTCCGAAACAAACATAAGTAACCAAAATAATCCACATAAAAAAAAAGGGGAGGGGACAAAAGGAAGGGAGAGAGGGAGGGAAGGAGGAAGAGAAAAGAAACATAATTATAGTCTAGATTTCAGTAAACTTTAAAAAATTGCAACAAAGAGCAGCTAGTCCTTGGCACTCCTGTCCTGTTGCCCTTCCCCTCAATCTACTTCAGCTGTGAACTTGTAAAAAGGAGGTGATAATACCCACTGCTTGACAGAGGGGTGATATACCCAAGATTCAGAACAAGATGTACATTTTTGGACACAGCCAATGTGAGAATTTGGTTTATTTGACTATATATATTTCAAACAATTTCTTTTTCTTTTCCAATTGGGTATAGGATGAACGGGGATAGGGAGAGGGTAGAAGAAAGAAGGAAGGAAGAAAGGATGGGAGGAAGAGAGGAAAGGAGGAAATAAGAGATTGAGGCATCTTTTTTAAAAAAATGGATGGAAGAGGACAGAAAGAAGTCCAGGAAAAAGCATATACAAGTAGGAGCTCTTTGAAAGCTACATGATGAACATGTCATATACTTAAAAAGAAAAGCAAGCTGTACATAAAAGAGATAGGCAGTTTCATACCCATTTGATTTGGAAATTGTTAAATTCAAAAAAATTTTTTTTAAATAGAAAAAACAGGTGGGGTTGCAGGGGTGCAGGATGGAGGTAGGGGTTTGGAGGCAGCCAATATAAGTCAGACCCTTCATCCTTATGGTCAGAGTTATTATCCCTTACCTTCAGTTCTACTTCTTCCTTGGGCAGTACCAAAAGGAATCTTGCACAGCACTTCTCAGTCGGATTCTGATCAGTAAGGCATGTAAGATCTGTCAGGTCTAATTTGTCAATATACTGCAGAGATAAGAGAAAACGACATTCAATTTTTTAATGGAAAATACACATGAATAGTCCTCAAAAGAGCTATAACTGCTTCTTTTAAAAGGAGTTTTAAATTATATTTTACTCAGGGCTCCTCAAGTCTCCAAGGGCAGGTTCTCTTTCAGCAAGTGTCCTAGATTCCTACTTTATTTAGATTGAGGACATCTGAGTATATTCTCTCAACTCTCCTCTTTACTCCTATTGTCTCAATGATGTGATTTTTTTTTTGTCCTGGCCTGTAAATATGCTTATTTTGCATGAAGGCTCCAAAATCCTTCCCCAGTTTCTGGGGAAGATAAGCCTCTCATGTTTGAAACTCATTTCCTGGGGCCCAGCTAGGTTGACTGGTGGCTGACAGAATGCAAATTTATCTAGTCCACTATACCTGACTGACCCCAGTCCCCAGACTCCAGCTCATTGGACCACCCTTCACCTTCATACCCAATCTAGCCATGAATTTGGGCCATCTTAACATCTGCCTGCCCTTGCATGCCTCCATCACACCCTTTTGAATAGTACAGTGATAAGTGAATTACTTGAGATGAACAATAATTTTGACATGGTTTTATTCTGCAACATCGATGGTTGTGTGTGTATGTGTTTCTATTGACATTAGGCTGACTCAGAATGTACATTACCCTCAAGGAAACATGCGCGAAAGTTGTAGCTCTCTAAGCGCACAATTCAATAGCTACCACAGATACTGCAACAGCTGTTGGTATGAGGAAATCCAGAATTGCAAGGATCATCCAAGTCCACAAAAAAATAGAATTGTTACACTGTAGTACAAAGGAAAATGAGGTAAAATATTTTTTTAAAAATAACACAAATAGTGGATAGAGCACTGGACCTAAAGTCAGGAGGACCTGAGTTCAAATCTGGCCTCAGACCAAACACTTGACACTTACTAGCTGTGTGACCCTGGGCAAGTCACTTAACCCCAATTGCCTAAAAAAAAAAAATTTAAAAATAACACGAATTGACAAACTATTGCTGCGAAACAGCCAAATTAATCCTCATAAAACAAAGCCCTTCAGAGTGACCTAGCCTATGCAAGATCAATTCTAGAATACTCTCTATAGTGGCATAGGCCTCTTAAAATTGGAAGAACTGCAAGAAGACCACTAAAAAGAACAACTACTAATTGCAGTTATGAAGAAAAAAAGGTTCATCATGGCCAACATGATACAAAGAATGAAGTACCAAAAACTTGGAAAAAGTATTTTTTTTCTCATGAAACTCATTTTTTAATTCAAGGTTCTACCAAAACCATTATCAGAAATCCAGGTGAGCCTCTAAAGCCTGATTATCTTCATTAAACTATAAAACATCTACCCCAAAAATGTTTTAATAAAAGAAATTTTTTCCAGTGGGTCTGGGTGTCTTTTAACCATTAAGGGAATGAATTCTGATAAAAATATTGCTATGCTGAGTGGAATTGATATAGAATTACAAAATCCCCAAATGAAAATGAAGTACTACATTGAAGTCTTGCACCATACCACACATCACACAATGTTTCACTTTGTTTCCCCTAGGAGAGAGAAATAAATATGCTTCAATGGCCTGAGAACTAAGCTGATTTAATACTGTCAAAAACCTATGAGCGTAAGCTCCAAAAGGACGCATGATAAATGTAAAAGGTCACATGATAAATGAGCGATGCAAGGAAGAAAATATCTTTACAACTATATTTAGAGGAAGAGTTGTTGACAAAAAAAGGGGTAGAGAGGATCACAGAAGACAAAATGGACAACTTTGATTACATAAAATAAAAAACTTTTTGTACAAATAAAACCGTTGTTGTTGTTGTTGTTGTTGTATTGTTTGGTTGTGTTGGACTCTTTGTGACCCTATGGACCATAGCACACCAGACCCAACTATCCTCCACTACCTCTTGAAGTCTGTCCGAATTCATGTTCATTATTTAGGGTACAATAAAAGGGAAACAATTAACTGGGAGGGATTCTTTGTAGCAAATTTCTCTGAAAAAGTCTCATATACAAAATATATAAAGAACCAATTTGAATTTGTAGCAATCAGAGCAATTCTCTAATTGATAATTGGTCAGATGATTTGAACTTTCCTTTTAGAGGAAGAAATGCAAAGCTACCAAGAACCATATGAAAATGAGATGCAAATTAAACAACTCCAAGGTTTTATCTCACACTCCTCAGATTGGCAAAGACAATTTTAAAAAAAGGAAAATGGCAAATGTTGGAGAGACTACAGATAAAGAATCACTTTAATGCTTTGTTGGTGGAGCTGTGAATTAGTACAGCCATTCTGGAAAACAATTTGAATTATGCCTCAAAATCTACTAAACTGTGCATACTCTTTGACCCAATGATACTAGTACTAGGCCTCTATTCCCAAAGAGATCAAAGAAAGAAGAAAAAGACCCATGAGTACAAAATATTTATAACAGCTCTTTTCATAGTGGCGAAGACCTGGAAACCAATGGTACATGTATATAATGGAATATTATTGCACTATAACAAATGACAAAAGAGATGGAGAATATGTGCCATGAAAGCCCTACTCTTAGGCTTCACCATAGAGTCAAGTGACTCTGAGTTCTGTTCCCAAACACTAGCAAGCTGAAAGCCTTCTAATACAGGATCAGAGAGAGGCTATATACTCCCATGGCTTTAATTATCATTTCAATGCAGATGACACCTAAATCTATATAGAGAGTTTTGCATTTCTCACTGCTTGTTGGGCATCTCTACCTGGGCGTCTAATTTCAAAGTCTAATGTGTGAAAAATGAACTGATCTTTCCCACAAAACTTGCTCCTCTTCCCAAACTCCCTTACCTCTGTTGATGGTAGTGCCATATACACAGTTTCTCAGGCTCAAAACTTTAGTATTATTTTGATTCTTCCTTCTTTTCACTCCCACACACAATCAGTTATTGAGTTTTATCAATTCTATTTCCCCATTTTATCTTGTATCCATCTCCTTTCCATTCTTATCTGTAATACTGTAATGACCTCTCAACTGGCCTTCTTGATTCCAGTTTCTCCCCCTCTCTAATCTTTTATTCACAGAGCTGCTAAACAATCTCTTAAAATTTTTATTTTACTTTTTTAATTAATAAAAATATATTTTATCTCCCTCCCATCTCCCCTCATTAAAACAAAATCTATATAACAAATGTGCATAGTCAAACAAAATATATTCCTCCATTGATTGTATCCAAAAAAAATGTCTTATTCTGTATCCTGAGTCCATTCTCTGTCAGGAAGTGGGCAACATTCTTCACCATTGCTCCTCTAGAACTGTGGTCATTCATTGGCATATTCCCTTCCTACTCAATAAACTCCAGTGGGTCCCTATTATCCAGGATAAAATATAAAATCCTGTTTGACTTTTAAAGTTCTCCATAACCCGTTCCCTTCCTAACTTTCCAGGCTTCTTACACTTCATTCCCCTCCAAATACTCCAAGATCCAGGGTCACTGTCCTTGCTGCTCTTCATATATGACCCTCCATTTCCTCACTCCACGCCTTTTCACTAGCTCTCCCCCATGCCTTGAATGCCTCCCTCCTTTCCTCTGTCTCCTAAGTTCCTTGGCTTCCTTCAAGACTCAGCTCAAAGTCTACCTTGTCTCCACCTATCCTTCCACAACTTCCAGCCACTGCTCATGCCTTCCCTCTGAAATTACTTCCCATTATGCCGTATATATCTTATACATACATAGCTGTTTGCACACTCTCTCCCAATTCTGCTTTTTGAGGTTACGGTGCTACTTTTGCCTTTCTTTGTAATGCTCGGCACTTAGTGCAGACATGTCCGATGTGTTGTAAGAGCTTAATAAAGGCCTATGGATTGATTTGCCAACCACCAAGTAATCTTACATGCACAGGTCTAACAATGTCACTCTCCTGCTAAAAAACCTTTTATGGGTCCCCTTTGCCCACCAGATAACCTCCAAATACCTTAGCCTGGCAATTAAGCCCCCCCACAACTTGGCTGAAATCTTAACTTTCAAAGCTTATTTCACTCCATTAAGCTTCGTGTTATTTCACATTCCAGACAGACTGGGCTGCTTGCTATTTCCTAATCTCCTTCTGGCCTCTAAAAACTTTTTGAATTTTTGAAGGCATACCAGAATGGACTTTCGCTTTACCTCCTACTATGGAAATCCTTCTCTTCCTTCTAGGACCAGGTCAAGTATTAGCTTCTTCATGAAGTAGTTCCAGATCTTCCATCCCTCAACTGCAAGTGATCTCTCCCTCCCCAAATTTCATAAAGTATTTTATTTAGCCCTGTTATTATTCTTCATCTTTTTTTGTATAATGGACCCATTTGGAAGTCTGGTGAAGCCTATGGATCACTTCTCGGAATAACATTATTAAATGCATAAAATTTAATACACAGGATTACAAAGGAAACAAATCACATTGGAAACTCTAGAAGTCTTCATTTTTAATCCAAAAAAGGATAGAAGCCAAGAATGATGTGGTAGTGACTGAGGATGACCAAATAGGCCCTCTTCCAAGCACTTTGGTGAAAAGTATGGACTGGTTGCTTGCATTTTCCTTACTCTCTTTAGTTAGTTTTACTATGTATGCTACTGTTCAGACTGAAAGTATTTGATGGCTAATTCCAGGACAAGAGCATAAGCATCCAGAGTAATAATAGACTGAAAAATGAAATTGGAAAAATTAATTTCAATCTTTGCTTTCAGAAGCTAGTGCTGAAATTCCATTGTTTTCCATGTATTATATTTTAACTTAGATTAAAGTAATTTCACATTTAAGCTACTAAATGTACAAAAAAATCATACACTAATGTTGCATATTAGTGTTTCAATAAACATGAAAAGATTCAGAAAATAGTTATATGAATATTAAAAAGAAAGTTCCCAGACCCCAAATGAAGAACCCCACTTTTGCCCTTAATGTATTTTATCTTGCATTATATTTCTTTGAGTATATGTCTTACCTCCTCTACTAAATTATAAGCTTCTAGAAAGCATACACAATTTTTTTCTCATCTTTGTATTTCTGTACTCAAACATAGTGTCTGATGTATAATAAATTTTTAATAAATGTTTATTGAGTTTAATTGAATTCTCCTCCAAAACTAGCCTACCTAGACTCAGAGGAGTTCAACTCATGAAATGGTCTATTAAGGAATGGAGGTATTGCAATCCACATCAGCAGAGGGAATACCCATATTGATGAAATCATAAGTCTTTTGAAGAGTTGAAGTGAATCAATACTGTATGGTTTAGTGATACAACTATGGAAAAGCTAGATTAGGCAGGTCGGGAGCACAAAGGGTAGCGTACTGGACTTGGACTCAGAAAGATTTGCTTCACTCACTTACCAGCTATGTGACCTTGGGCAAGTCATATAAACTCTTCTAGACTCAGTTTCCTCAATTGCAAAATGGGGCAATAATAGTGCCTACCTCAGAAAGTTGTTATGAGGCTCAAATATATATAAAATGTAAAAAGCTCTGTAAACCTTAAAGTGTTACATAAATGCTAGTTATTGTTATCATTATTATTACTATATGACCTACAAGTTGAGCTACTTACAGTTGGATTTTTTTTGTCAATGTAAAAAAAAAGGGTAGTTCCTCTCAGTTCTGTCCAATAGTGTTTAAATTCCTGTGGAAAAACAAGTTTAAATTTTATTTTGATGGTTCATTTTCATCCAATGGGGATAACCATATAGACAAAAACATTTTCATATGATTTAGAGAAGGAAAGGGACTTTGAGATGGTCTAATCAAGATAACATCTTTACATTGCTCATCCTAGGTTCTACAAGCACCTTTAAACATGATTCGTTTCACCTCATTGTCACACAGTTCTATACTTTACTGAGAAAATAGAGATTACTCACTGTAAGCTCCTTTTCTCCTTCTCTATATCTTCAAAACCCTTGACATAATCCTGCATTAAGAACAACCCTTCTACATGTATACCTGCTCCTATCCCCTCCTGTGTCCTCTGGCAGTTTATTCCCACAATCATATTAGGTAGTTAATGTTGGTGATGCCCAAGAAAGAAGATTCCTTCCCCTTTGAAGTTGTATGATTCCAGGAATCAAATTGGAGATAGCTAAGAATGATGTGGGCAGCTATGTGGCACAGTGGATAGAGCACCAGGCCTGGAGTCGGGAAGACTCATCTTCCCCAGTTCAAATCTGACCTGAGACACTTACTAGTTGTGTGACCCTGGCAAGTCACTTAACCTTGTTTGCCTCATTTTCCTCATCTGTAAAATGAGCTGGAGAAGGAAATGGCAAACTACTCCAGTGTCTCTACCAAGAAAATCCGAAGTGAAGTCAAGAAGAGTCAGACATGACTGAAAAACAACTGAACAACAACAAAGAATGATGTATAACCAAGAATATACACAGTAGATAGTTATGGAAAACCAATAGCCAGCTCAATGTCACCAACTTAGGCCACCGGATTTGGAGTCAGAAGATTTGGATTCAAATCCTGGGTCCTACTTCCTTTCTGTGTGAACATGGGCAAGTTCTTTTACCCTTCTGGGCTTAAATTCCCTCAGCTGTGAAATGAAGGCATTGGACTAGATAACCCTTAAGGTCCTTCCACATTGAAATCCTATGATCTTCTCATTTAAACTCATTTAAGGCCTAGCAAGGAGAAGGGACTTGCTGAAAATCATAGACGTGGTAGAGCCTGAATTCAAACCTAGGTCTTCTGAATGTTAATCCAGTGATCTTTATTATTGTTGTTGTTTTCCCTTTTCTTGGACCAGACCTATGATTTCATTGACGTACAAAACTTCAAGTGATTAAATTTTCTAGACCAATGCAGATGGGTACTTTCTCTATAATTCCCACTCATAGAAAGTTGCCGGTAACCTGAGAGGTTAGGTCACTTGCCCTGGGTCACACAACAAGTGTATGTCTGAAGTGAGACTTGAACCAACGTCATCCTGATTTGGAGGTCTGCTTTCTATCCACTATGCCATGTTGTGTCTCTCAGGGCTCTTTTGATGACAACCTCTGTGATTTCACTACAACTTCTTGAAATTAGCAATAGAACCTGAAGAAAAGTTTTCGGACCTGCCATTTCATTATGGGAGAATTCATGGTATGGAAACTCCTTCCGCTGATGTCAGTCTACAATTTATCCCCCTCTAGCCACCATGCCATGCTGACTCTTGCAGGGAAATGTGAGGTACATAAAAAGGAAGTAATTGGTCCTTGTCAGAGCCAGAGAAAGGACCGTAGCCTTGTAGATTCATATTAGTTACAATATCTGTGCTAGTAAGATCTTTGTGCTTGAAAATCATGATATTCCTCAGGGTTTAAGGAGAGTTGTCAGTTTGATCCTCTGCTTCTCTCCCAGGGACCTATTTAGTATCCAGGGCATAAAGGCTGATGGAAGAAACAGCTGCTCTGCTAGAGATCTGTGGATCCCTATGGCGTGCCAAGGGAGCCTCAGAGCTATCCCAGAACTGTGATTCCCTCTCCATCACCCATCCTGACCTGAAAACTGCCTGTCATTAATCTGACCATCTGGGAGAGATAGTGTAACAGAGGAGAAAGAGCGCTGTAGAAGCCCAGAAAATTTTGTTCCTGGAGGAGAGGGGCAAGGCGGAAGAGCATCCTGTGTGAGCCCATAGCCAGGAAGAGCACTATTCCCCCAAGTGAAATATAATCATGAACAACCGGAGCCTTATCTGATTTGCTGACTTGCTGAAGGAATGATCTGCCTGGATGTACCTATTTGTTGCCCTGTAAGACATGGTCAAGTTATTCTCTCTTCACACTTTCTCTGTCTCGTTGCTGCAGGCAAACTGGCATTACTGCTCTTGGGAGTCTCCAGCTCTGTTCAAACTTTGTTTATTTGCTAGCTCTATTTTTATAAGTTAGCTGTACTTTTATGTTTGCTAGCTTGTATTTTTTATAAAATAAACATAAGCTGATTTTGTTGTTGTTAAGAAAAAGAAGGGTGGAGGAGAGAGAGACAGACAGATAGAGACAGAGAAACAAAAAGAGGAGGAAAGGGAGACGGAAAGGAAAAAAGAAAGGAGACGAAGAGAGAAGAGAGAGTGCTGGACAAGGAGACAAGAGAAGAGCAGATTCCCACCTATGACATTTCCTGGCTATGTGACATGATCAAGTCACTCAAACTCTCTCATTTTCTTTACCTGTACAGTAGGATTAATAACATTTGTATTACCTACTTTACAGAGTTGTTATGAAGAAAGCACTTGGTAAACCTTAAAGTGCTATGGAAACACAAGGGTTTTTGTTTGTTTAGTATTATTCCTGCCTATCTATTATTTATATATCTTCCTGAGGGTTGCTGCCCTTGCAATGGACCTAAGGACATATGCTATTGATGTGTACCTAGGAAGATGAACTTCCTTCAGCACAAGACTGTATTCTTCTGTCGTGAGTAAGGGACTGAACCTGGGAAACTACCAAAGCTGGTCACAATTCTAAGAGTGAGACTAGGATGAAACTAGTCACTCTTCCAGTGAGCACATCTCTGGTAATAGATTTCTGAGGCTCTTTGCTTCCCCAAACAACATTCTCATACTCAAAACCTGTGCCCAAGCAGTTTTCAGATGAAGAAATCAAAGCTATCTATAGACATATGAAAAAATGCTCTAAATCACTATTGATTAGAGAAATGCAAATTAAAACAGTTCTGAGGTACTTCATCACACTTATCAGATTGGCTAACATGACAAAACAGGAAAATGATAAATGTTAGAGAAGATGTGGGAAAATTGGAACACTAATGCATTGTTGGTAGAGTTGTGAAATGATCCAACCATTCTGGAGAGCAATTTGGAACTATACCCAAAGGGCTATAAAACTGTGCATATGCTTTGACCTAGCAATACTACTACTAGGTCTGTATCCCAAAGACATCATAAAAAAGGGGAAAGAACCCACATGTACAAAAATATTTATAGCAGCTCTTTTTGTGGTGGCAAATAATTGGAAATTGAGGGGATACCCATTAATTGGGGAATGGCTGAACAAGTAGTCTATGAATGTGATGGAAAACTATTGTTCTATAAGAAATAATGAGCAGGAGGATTTCAGAAAAACCTGGAAAGGCTTACATGAACTGATGTTGACTGAAATGAGCAGAACCAGGAGAACATTGTACATAGTAACAGCAACACTGTACAACAATCACCTATGTGGACTTAGCTCTTCTCAGCAATGGAATAATCTAAGACAATTCCAAAAGACTCATGATGGAAAATGCTATCCACATCCAGAGAAAGAACCATGGAATCTGAATGCAGATAGAGCATACTATTTTCTCTCTCTTTTTTTCCTCGTGGTTTTTCTCTTTTCTTCTGATTCTTCTTTCACAATATGACTACTGTGGAAATATGTTTAATACGATTATACATGGAGAGCCTATACCAGATTGCATGCCATCTTGGGGAGAGAGAATGAGAGGCAAGGGAAAAAATTTCGAACTCAAAATCTTATAAAAGTGAATGTTGAAAACCAAAAATAAATAAAAAAGAAAAAATCCTCAAAAAAAGTCCATGCCCAAGGACTATTCTCACCAAATGTTTAGAACTTCAGGACTGCTACAGTTAATAGGTATTAGTGTAGTGTAGTGGAAGGCAAAGATGACCTAGGCTGTAATACTGACCTTGTGCAAGTTCCTTCCTCTCTTTTGGCCTCATTTTCCTTATCTGTAAAATGGAGAGGTTGAACTAGATAATCTCAAACGTTCCTTTCAGTTCTAAATCTTAGGAGTCTGAAGGGGAAGTGGAAATAGATTATTGACCCTTTTCCTTCCTGTTATTTGACATAGTTCTACAAATTTAACAATAACAATAAAACAGGAGAAAGAAAATGTGAGACCAAGCAGAGCTGATTACCTCACTTAAAAAAAGTGTAGCAGAGGGGGCAGAACCTGCCCTGGTACAAAGAAAGTCCTAATTCAGGAACTAAGTCTGGAGAGATGAGTAAATCTTCCAAAGAAAACCATTATCAGAAATTATTACAAATCTAGAGATTTCCCAAGAGAAGTAACTACATGACAAATGCAAGCAGAGACTCAAGAAATGAGACTCCCTGAAAACTAGAATAGACAAAAGAGAAACCATTCATCGAGACACTGGACATTATATTTCAAGAAATCATGAATGAAAACTGCCCAGATCCATTAAAACCCAAAAGAAAAGTAAAGATAAAAAGAACCCACAGATCACCTCCTGAAAGGAAAAGTCCCAGGTCTGCCATAAGCAAGACTCAGAGCTTCCAAGTCAAAGAAAAAGGTATGCAAACAGCCAGGAAGAAAGAGTTGCAGTACCAAGGAACCCAGTTAGGATCACAATAGACCTGGCAGCAGAGAGCTTGGAATACAGTAATCCAAAAGGCAAAGGAAAGGTACTAACATCTGAGAATAATTTACCTGGCAAAGCTTAGTGTAATCCTATATCAACAACAAGAGTAAACACAGAGGAGTGGATATCACGTGAACCTCCTTCTTATCTGGACCAGACAAATGAGGAGTCAACACACACACACACACACACACACACACACACACACACACAAATATACACAGAGTTTCATGTAGAAATATAGATATAAAACAACTCAATCAGAAAATAGGCTGGGATAGAAAGAATGAGGG